GTGGCGCCGCATTGCACTAACCATTTCTCGAAGTTGCTCTTAATATCTGCAGCTGGGAACTATCCTCACAGCTGTATGTCAACTTGCTGAGTAAGACTTCGATGTCCTTGTTATGAAAATCCTGTACAGTTTTCTTAATATTTTAATTTAATTAAATGTTACAGATTTTTTGTAGACGGATAGGCCTTCTTGGCATCGTTCGTTTCACAAGCGAATAGAATAGAATGCAAGCTATTCTTGTTGCGCTAATAAGTTGTCATAGTTTCATCAAGTCATAAAACAGATTGATTCTGAAGGAACCAAACTATTTTTTTCATAACTTGAAAACATCATAAAACAAAATAATACTTTTTAAAGTTTACTGATTTCTTTTTGATTCGAACTTAGCTTGAGTATTTTTATGACTGTATTTTTTACCTAAATTCTTGGAATTAGGATAATTATTGGTCCTTTCCGAGGAAAAATAAAATATTAAGCGGCCGAAAAAATTGGCAATGACGTAATAGGCTGGCCCATCATTCGCAATGAAAACTTTAATTCTAATTTTATTATTTACGATTATGATTTTGGGATTTTGATTATATATATATGTTACAGGAAATGTATGAAATCCGTCATTGTATACAATTCCTAGGAATTGTGTATAAGTCCTAAAATCACCCGGAAATGTGTGATGTAAATTATATTAGACACATTTCCTAGGAAAATTACACATTTCCTAAACAGCATTTGGAAATGTAATTAAGATATTTTTTTTTACACAAAATTATTTTTATTACGCCACTTTTTGTTCTCCGAAACTTAAATGGCGCTACCGCGCCGCGGCAGCTGTGTATGTGTAAGGTCGCAAGTCTAACCTAACCTAACCGAGACTTTGTTATCCAGCTACAGGAGTACTAAAACCTTCATGTCAATAATAGTTTAATAAAAGATAAGTTAAAATTAGGGATTTCCAATACTTCCGCGTAATATGCGTGATGCCGAAAGAAAGGTATAATAGTGCGAAAACAACTGTCAGGCTAAACAATAATAATTGTGAGTTAAAAGTACCTATCGGCCAATGTGGTTTGGCTAAATGAAATTTTAGGCGTACCGAGGGACACCCGATCACGCGACCGCGCTTGTGCCGCTTAGTTTTATACATTTCCTAATACAATATTGGAATTCTATAAAATTCCTAGGAAAAGTATACATTTCCTAGGATATGTGCGTATTAAAAAATCTCTGAAGCAATATTTTATACATTTCCTAAATAGCTTCGGAATTGTATACATTTCCTAGGAATAGTATACAATTCCTGGAATTCATACATTTCCTGTAACATATATACTAAATGCTTTACGCAACTTCTTGGCAACAAAAATAGGAATACGAGTAATGTATGTACATTTTTTTTCACATTGCATATTTTACAGTAGATTATCATCATCATCATCATTTCAGCCACTGGTCGTCGGACCTTGTGGGACGTCCCATGCTGCGGCAGATTATCAACTTCAGATATTTACAGGCAATTTGACAGAAGATTAGATACATTATAAACAAATACCATTACAGTAACAATAAAATGAAGGTATCGACAGCCCGTACCCTCAAATCGTGGCCAGGATAAGCGTTGGTAATGGTCCGGTTTTAAATAAATGGCCGCTTGATGGTTTTAGGATAATTACACACACATGTAGGCAGTTACGGTAGGCTCTATGCAAAATTATGTAACAAAGTTTTCAGTAGGTTACCATTAAATATAGTATGCTACTCGAACGAGTTATAATGTTATTTTTACCATCAAATAAGTAAGGTAAAATGATACAATTTTCAATTCACAAGACAACTTAATGAATTTATTCTACTAGAGAAAAATTTATGATCGAGAATATGACTTTCATTGGGTACAAGTAAAATACTCGGTTCGCTTCCAAACGGAGTTAATAACTTGCCGTTCGGGAGCCACAAGTCCTATAAATAATTGAACAGATAACTTAGTAGGACCCATGGGAAAGTAAAAAACTTAGAAGCAAGACTCTTGTCCTCACAATCTATAGCAGTAGTAAGTAGTTACATGTGGAGTGTTTGAAAATATTAATTACTGAAACTATCACGTCTTGTAAAAAAAACGAATTTAAAACACCACAGTTTTATTCTGTACCATTGAGAATACATTTTCTCGCATTATGTTTATTGGCAACTAAATATGAAAACATCTTATGATTTTTTAAGGACTCCCACCAACCCGTTGACAGTCCGATCCAGTTTGATAAATGTGCCGGTATGCACAATACTTAATCTCTTCATATCTTATCTTGATCACGTTCACAGTGTCAGCACATTAATCACGTATAGTGCTGATGCTGTGACGTCATTTACCTTTGATCTATATCGTATAAATAGTCACGCAGTTCACACTAAAAAACAGATTAATATCAGAGCCTAACTACAACCCGTGTCTCATTTATACGGTCCCCCAACATGGCACAAATTGGTGACCCCGACGAAGAAGACGACCCCGACGAAGAAGATGAACCTGACGAAGATGGCACAAATTATTGACCCCAACGAAGTCGAAGAAGCAGACAAGCCCGACGAACGACGACGAAGATAAACGTACCAAGCCAACGTGATGTGTGACGTAACCTCCATCACCCACCACCATCTTCAGCATCAACCTCCGCCAGCTTTCATCTGACATGGAATCAAATTGGTTACCCCGATTGAGCAGAGAAAATTTCGCGTCATCAACATCAATTATTGTGAAATCAACATCATTCAGCGAAAATTAATGAAGTCTCAGCAGTCAGCAGTCAACGACAACAGCATAAAAATTCAAGACCAAACAATGGAAAATGTGCTAACACAGCTACAACATGTGCAATTGAAATAATAATTGTGCCATGACCGTGAAAATTTGCGACGCAGCAATTACAGGCCAAGGTCGCCTAGTCAAGTAAGAAGATTTTGTTATTATAATATGTATCAACGTATACAGAAAAATGCGAAAAATCATGTGATTGGAAACAAACGAACCAAGGAAATTAAAATCGCACAGCCAGCATGGCTTCTGTGCTATCTACCCGTCTAACCGCCTTATTGTTACCGACTGAAAAAGTGGTATGAGGTTTTTAATCGTTACGGGAGCAACATAATTATCAGTGATAATAATCAACAATGCCAAATGAGCAATATGTTATTATGCCACGAATGGTTCAAAGATAAAACACTTATGGTGAGAAAACGCTGACTCTTAACTTGGGATTACAATCATTTAGAAAAATGTGAATCCCTCCAGAGCGAACATTTCTTAGGTTATCCGATAACGAGCCAAGGAATCGCCCAACAGAGCAGAAATCAAAGCAATCGATGTATTGAAACACAGTTAAGGAATTGAGAAAATTACGCAGCCGCGTATCAAAGTATTCATAATGAATATTTCAAGAGTGATAATTCGCCTATCCTTTGGTCTTCAGAAGCCGATAACGCTTATGAAATGTGCAAGGACACAAGGCATGAACGCTGTGACTACAGCGCACCCATCGCGTAAAGCCGAGCTTGCGCGAGGGCAACCTACGACTGTGAAAACCCCAGATAAGGAAGAAGCCAGTGGTTATGTTTTGTTATAATCTCATCTTTAAAAACATTTCACCATTTTTCACCACATGATTTGTATAACGTAGATAGTTATTGTAATTTGTATTTAATTAGCACATTATTTTTATTTCTTGTATGTAAGTATGTAGAGATTGAACATTGAACCTGTATTAACGTAGATAATTTATGTAAGTTATTGTAATTAGCGCATTATTTTTTATTTCTTATTTAAAGGGGGGGAGTACTGTGCCGGTATGCACAATACTTAATCTCTTCATATCTTATCTTGATCACGTTCACAGTGTCAGCACATTAATCACGTATAGTGCTGATGCTGTGACGTCATTTACCTTTGATCTATATCGTATAAATAGTCACGCAGTTCACACTAAAAAACAGATTAATATCAGAGCCTAACTACAACCCGTGTCTCATTTATACGGTCCCCCAACATGGCACAATAAACATATTAAAAAAAACCTATTTTAACATGTCAACAGCGCGGTGTTAGTGGGTAGAATGCTTAATATCTTCTACGCATTTTTCGTTAGTCGATCCACATGATAGCGAGGCATATTTGGCAAGCTCTTTACTATTTCGTATACGTTTCAATAGAAAGGATATTGGACTTACATGTAAGACAATTTACAGAAAGAAATGTACGATACTTCGACCTTCCCTCGCTACATACGTATACTGATGAAAAGTAATTTGGTTGGTTCATGGATATCCTTAGAAAATATGCCTTCGAGGAATTATTGGTTTAACTAGAATTTTTGGTTAGTAATTACATTTCATAGCATTACATTTGTTTGAGTTAACAAAGGAATTTAGAAATTAAAGCCACATACTTAAAATTTTCAATTACTGCTTTATTTCAGATATATTTCATATAAAACTCCAAATATAATCGGTAACTTAATATATCACAAAAATAAACTTTGGCTAAATTATACAACAAAATAACAAACGTAAATAAAATGTAAAATACAAACAGTTTCATAAAAAAGGAACGCGTACAAATAAAAATTGGAATCCAAAAATTCGTGAATATTTTATTCAAGCTCGATGGGAATGTTTGTTAAAAAAATTTAATAAATTGACTAATATTTGTTATTACATACATAAATCAAGCTCGGGTTATGTAGGTTATTGACTGCGTGAAATTATTCTTTATCACAGAGGTGGCTACATTACAGCGTGATAAAACATCAAATAGGTTTCGCGTGTGGAACTTATCTAAGAATTCCTAAAAAGTTATACATTAATGACTAAATATAAAATGGAACACTGGTTTGTCGTAATCGAAAACTTTAGATAAAACATATTATTATAAATCAGTCTATAATGATGATACAGATATTTGATTTGGAATGTGATATGCATTTGTACAGTTATGTATTGTTACTTTACTCGAAGTTTATTTCATAAATGTAGGGCGTTTACTCATTTTAATACTAAGGAATCTGCAACACGCATTTTCTCAAGTACATTTTCTATGACTATCTTTTTGGTACATCGTTACGTTACAAAAATATTACAACAGTAGGTACAAGTTATACATTCAGAATTCTTCTAAAATTTATATTTAGCGTGCTGCAAACATCGATTCATACAATTCACGCCAAATTCCGCAAACCCCAAAGTTATTACTATGATTAAACTATAATTCACTATGTATAAATATGATGTGAATATTGAATAATAATGTGATTTTAGGAATACTCGTATTTATGTTTGGTAAAATTAAGTTGAAGTCAACTGAATGATTTAACAAATACCAAGCTGAAAATGACAAAGTTCAACATCATCATCGTGATCATTTCAGCCACAGGACCCATAAACTATAAGTAGATACTACCTACTTAATTAAAACTGTTGATATCTGAAATTATGAAAAATGTATTTCTTTTCCGTAAAATCCTCATGATTATTCTTAACTACGTAATTTGGCGCGAACCGTTTCGTTACACTGTAAGGGCCTGCCTACACAGAGGTCTTGGTGCAAGCATTGATGTCGCCAATGCTCTTCACTCGCCTATGCCGCTTCTGTCTGACAGCAGAGTCGTCCACAGACTTTGCAGGTAGCGGCGAACTTACCCTGTGCGCGTGGTCAGCTTTCTGTCCGTACCTTTACAAAAATATAATAATTATGTAAATAGTTAATCGATTAAAATTTTTTTAGGTAAATTTGTAATCGAATACAAACATAATTTGCTACTCAAAGACTCAACAAAGACTAAACTGTAAATAAATGAAAATGAATCTCTTTTCGAAACTTTAAACTCATCGAGATATTTCCGAGAATTTCTCCTAAATAACATCGAATGATTGATTCTAATATTTCTCGGGAATTAGGGAAGAAAATGAAATATAAAGCGAGCATTCTTGTAAGATTTTCTTGGTAAACGCTTAAGTAGGCTTCTGAAATTACATAATGAATGCTTTATCAAATAATAAAAATTGCGACTACGCCATTATGGCGTCCATAAAATGATTACTATTGTTGACATACTTTTTTAATTTTGCACATTGCCTGTCTTACCCCCCATGGATTTCAATAACAATAGCATGAAGATATTGCAACGCAAAAAAGGTCAAATTCAAATTCAAATTCAAATTGTTTATTTGCAAACTAAGTGTACATTAAAGGTCTTATCACTAATGTGTGCTTATTACTTAGTTACCTAGTTAAGGCATTGCAAAGGTTTGATGGGAGGGCTACATTATGGTCAACACCATTACGCATTACTTCTATTGCCTCCTTGGTCCACGGATAACTGATTGACTCGAAAGGTTTGGTTTGAATACACAGTGCCCCACAGTGCGTGCCCGTGTTTAAAATCACTTTGTGTGTTAAGACTTTGCAAGCTGGAAGATTCTGTGCTTTGGAGAGTACGTTAAACTGCTGTTCATTCTACGCTAGGGTTGGAACCTCAGTCATATCCCAGACAATAGAAGTTAGAACTCACCTGTGCGTGATGCTGACGTTCTCCTTTATGTCATTCAGCCGCTGCAGACTATCCCTCGTTGACACACTAGACTGCGAGTACAAACTTAGCGGTGTGTATATCGGCTCATATTCTTGCAGCGTTGGAGGCGGCGCATACGTCATGCTCAATTGCGACAGAGTTCTCACTGCGATGGGGGGAGAGTACGACATCTGGTATGGCTGGTTTGTGAGGCTGAGGACGCTGGAACTCTCGCTTGAACTGGAGGGTGAGGTGCGATCGTGTTTTGGCTTCAGAACTCCAAGAGCTCGCGTTATTGATCCCTAAAAGAAAATACGTAATGTTTAAAATCAATTAATGAAATACAGAAATCATAAACGTGAATGTTATATAATCTTACCCTTAAGCTATGTCTTCTAGAATCTCCACTGAGATCAATACCCGGTAAACCAGTGGCAACAGATCTCGAAAATGGTCTACCCAACATTCGGATTTGATGGCCGAACATATTCCTGAAAGTTCATAAACTAAGTTAACATTTCATCAAACACGAAAACGTACAAATTTGAGATTATATTGATCGACGAAAGCCAGGCAGAGCGCTGTTTGCTAGTTCACACATATTTAACAAATTCGAGGATCTCAAATTTGCACTAATTTTATCATCTGCTAACACAAAAAGCTCTCATGCAACTTTTAATAATAATTTTGAATTTATTGTATTATTTATTTATAACATTGATATTCATATTTACAAACATCTATTTTATGATATTTGACACATTGACGATGTCTTCTTAATGTAAGCTGCAGAGAGACAGATAAAAAGTGAATTAAGAATGTATAAGTTTTTGCGTAGACATCAAAAGCATGATGCACTTTGCTGGATACAATACGAATCATGCTGATTGTGTAGGAACAATGATTAAACTGACAAATAAAAATATTGTGGCCAAACATTTACTGGACAAACAAAGAAAAGTACCAACTCAAATGGGTTTATTTTCCTGAAATATTTTTACAGGTACACAAGTACTCTTCTCTGTAAGTAGTAATAAAAATAAATTTAATTATAATACTCAAAATGTTGAAACCAAATCAGACAAGCACAATGTCTATGTGGTCGAAAATATTTTCAAAAAAACAAAAACCAATTTTATGGAAGGAGAAAAAGAGTGGACAGAGCCTGGTTAAAGTGCGATCTAATGATGATGACAGAGGCAAACATGATGTATCGATAAAATGATCGTTACCGTTCTGTCTCGATGCAAGGATCGCCAAGTATAGGGTGATGGATAATAAAAGAAACTGACTCGATGTCCCTTGGGCTTTGTCTTTTTATCAGGATTTATTCACATTTATATGTCAATCGATATCGTGACAGATGAGCCTAATATACAATGTCGTCAACTTTACAATATGAATGTATACAAGTCAAAAACATATTCATATCTTACAATATCGGTAAATGCTATTATTGTTATAACCCCTAAAGCTATTGTAAATGGTTCTGTTTTTATATCTAAGGGTATTTCCATGTAATGATTTAAAATCTTTGATTAGAATAATAATTTTCTTAAAAATTCTTGACAAATTCAAACAAATCCATTTTATTAATGAGTAAATGGGATATGATTCACCCCCTATATTAACACGAAGCATTTTATGCTTAACGTAGATATCAACTAAGTTGTATACATTGACTAAATTTACCAATTCGATCAATCTCGAATAAACATTGATATGACAAATCTATTCTACGGCAAGTTGGAAATTCTAGGGGGTTACAATGTAGAACATTGAATCTAACATTGACGAAGGCGAAGGACACAAAAGAATATTGTGAATGTTTCCGATCGCTACAACTTTTCGAGTTACTTTTACTTACAAACCACGACTCCTACAATAACTTATCAGTCTTCACCGCTCGTAAAGTTTTCGATCAAAAAGTTTCACAAACGAGCGAGTTTTGACGGAAGATCCCTAAAAAGTCTTTTAGCAAAGGAAATTATTTTTGTGTAAAAATAGCAATTTACAAACATTTTGATACAGGAAATTTTACATAGATACAGGTTGACGAAACTGGGCGTCGAAGCTAGTTACTTTTTGAATGAAAGTTTTTTAATTTTTGTGGGTTTATCTTTGTTTTGTGGACAACATGGATGCTCGGGCAGCCTCCACTTGCAGTTCTTCCACCTGGCAAAATATCGTATACCTGCAGGATTGCACCTCACATTATAATCAACTACAGGTTGCTCACCTACCGGGGCGTGACTTTTGGTGACAACTAAACATGCAGTGCTATGCCTTCCAATATCTGGGCTCATTAAGTGATTACAATCAATTTGATCGTTAGTAGGCAATGGGTTGTTGTAAAATAGTTATCACAGTAGGCAGTGCTTTGTCACCAAATAAATGTACGTTATGGATCAAGAAAGTTCAGGTCATCTGATTTAAAAAGGATGGGTAAAAGGTAAAAAGGGAAACATAATATTTGTTCATGTTCAAAATGTGTTCCAATGCCGCTAAAATTTTGTAGTTTATGAATTTGTTCATGTGTGGTTAATATCTTTTGTAGATCTATCGTAATCAAATATTAACTTTCCCTCATGAACTAAAATCGTAGAATCTTATCAAATATTACCTGGCTGGAATGATGAGGGCATCGAATTCAGCGACCAAATGTCTCCGAATTATGCTCTTAGAGGGTGGAATGCCTAAAGCTGTTGCCATGGTCTCCCCTGTGAACGATGGTTCGAGAACCACCAAACCACCGTGCACTCCACTGTCTGTTGGATAAAATACAATGTTTAAGTAAATTCAACAACAATAGCGTAACTAAAAAGTTATTTATTTTCAGCAATTAGGCTTTAAAAATTTCAGTACTAGTAGGCACTACTTCGGGACAGTAACATGGGTTAGTGCCGAAAAGTAGCACGGCTAGAAATTCAGTCACTTCTGTAGCATCACTCACCTTTTAGATTTTCAGCAAATTCACCTAAATCAATATTGTGCGCCCACCGCATAAACCTCTGGTTGGTCCACACAAGCGGATCTGCGTCCACGTTCTCGCACTGATGCCGTCTCACAGCCAAAGCCTATCGACAAACGAACATGTATTACGTACTTTTTTTCCTTATTTTCCCCTCATTTTCCGATAACGTTAAACAGATTGGGAAGAAACCAAACAAATATAAATAAAATCAGCAACAACATGGGTACTTTGCGAAAAAGATTTTAGAATTCAATTAGGTAATGCGGATTTCGAGCAACGGGCGGTTAATGTCCCCGAATGTTCCCGGGATGTGTAATGTTGGGGAAAACAAAGTTCGTTTTGAATGTTAACTAAAATTATATGGATGTTAATAAAACAGTTTCAATGTTATTGTACGTTTTTGTTCTAGTGTTCCTCGAATCTGGGACCGTTTGGCTGTTGTCGGTCGCTATAGCAGATATTTTAATCTAGGAAAGTATACAATTTACTAAGGGATACTCTAGTAGGTGTATATTTTATACTTATGGTATGTCAATAGTCAGTATGTGAGCTATAGCCACGTGCAAAAGTTTCTGGTAAACCAACTTGTCGTATCTAAACATAAACATAGGCATATTATGTTCAACAATGTTGAAAACAAGCAATTGATGACAAACGAGGCGTTCCGGGTTGAATACGCTAAGTGTCGAGCAGGAATTTTGACCTCCTGCTGAGATGATTAATGGACCAAGTTACGGTCCCGATGTGAACGTGGAACGTCTGCGAATAATCGCTCATTTGCTGTATCATTCTCTGCTAACTAGAGAATAATGACATCGGACTTTGTTTTATTAATAGTGAGCTAAAGTTTTACCCGTCTTTTGTTCGCACGTGCACTACCACTTTAGTCATAAAAAGTCTCGATTTCTTCAATGAAGAGCAGACTTTCTTCAATGAAGTTTTATTTAAAAAAAATCCACTTTCCATTAGAATCCATTACAACACTTCAAAATCTTTTCAGCAAAGAAAACATCTATTTTTATTTCACTTACCTGTCTATCGTACTTCATTATCCTAAGCAGGTGTATGCCGTGGACTATCGACGCCTGGTGGAACTTCCTCGTCACACCGAGGTACTTCTCCAACTCCTTTTTGCTAATGGTGTCCAGCATTCTAGCATCCACTAAGTTCGCCAAAAATGACTCGGCATACTAATCAAAATAGAGAAAATGTAATAAGTCATTTTAGAATATCTGCAGCGGAAATTTTATGCATCACATTTAGAGAGATTAAAATTCATAAGCCACCACATATTTTCCTTAGAAAGCGGAGAAAGCGTATTTAATTTTATACAAAAAAAAAAGGAACTCTAGTTTACAATTTTTTATTACAGAACGATAACAGGTGCCGTTTACGTTAAGGGGCGATTCTTCAACATCAAAAAGTTAGATGGTCTAGCGTGACATAGAGCGTTTCTTTAAAAAGGGTTTGACCAGATGAGATCTTTGGCACAGCTTTTCACGTGTTACTTACCTGTGATAGACCCAAATCCGGCAGCCATTCCGCGGCCACCCAGGCATGTGTCAGCTGCCCTATACTCGGGTTCCGGACCAGATCCGGCCGCCTTCGCTCCTCGATCGCCAGCCTCAGCTTCTTGCGGTGCATCGGCTGCGTGATGCCCAACCCCACTTCCAAGTCCGCGTCCGTCAGCTCGAGCAGAACCTGCCCATTCAAAGCACGGATCTAGAACCAACCAGAACACAATATTTGACGCTACTATTGCGTCAGCTTCTTTTACACTTATTTGTGTTAGTACTTCAACATAATCACCTACGAGTATCATAAAAACTGTTATATTTTTGGATGTTGTTTGTTCTGGGTTTTATTTTTTCTATTGCATTTTTTTGCTTGGTTAGAGAGGAGCTAGCGTTATAGTCCAGTCATTTCGTCCGAAAAAAAGGCAAATAAAAGAAAATGAATTTGCGCTTCTAATTTTTTAATATGTTGTAGGGGATACCTAGAAAAGCTTAACTTGAGATTGTCGACCAAGCTTTCCTAGGAGCTTTCGCCGCCATCTTGGAATACGCTTAAAATTTGTTTTTCGGCAATAACTCGGCGATCCGATGAGATTCGAAAATTTTTGTAGGACACTTTTTGTAGCTTTCTTTGTGCTCTACAATAACGCCCGAACCATTTTTAGCGTATCATGCATCGTTATCGAGATATCGATCGATAAAGTCAAAAATTTTGGACACAATTTTTGTTTTTTTCTTTTTTTTTCTTTGGGTCTTAATAAATATGAAAAATTCCGAAATAATTAAATAATTAATTAAAAAGTAAAAAGTAAAATTTAATTACTTTTAATTACTTTTTAATTACTTTTTTTTAAGTAACGGCAAAGCATTTGTATTAGTTGGTTCTTGTTTTGATCCCTTGTGAGAAACTTCTCCTGGCTAACTTTTGGAGTAGTTGTCTCATCGAATGTGAACTCCGGCGATTGGTTTTTTCTCGAACGTCGTACTCTTTCCGAAGTTTTCGTTCCAGCGAGTGTCATATCAGTCGGATAACCGTCGAATATGATTGCAACCTTTCCTTCGAAGTTATGTTGTACGTATCTGACGTTAATTATTTAATTATTCCGAAATAATTTGTGTCCAAAATTTTTGACTTTATCGATCGATATCTCGATAACGATGCATGATACGCTGAAAATGGTTCGGGCGTTATTGTAGAGCACAAAGAAAGCTACAAAAAGTGTCCTACAAAAATTTTCGAGTCTCATCGGATAGCCGAGTTATTGCCGAAAAACAAATTTTACCCCTTTTTTCAACATGGCGGCGAAAGCTCCTAGGAAAGTTTGGTCGACAATCTCAAGTTAAGCTTTTCTAGGTATCCCCTACAACATATTAAAAAATTAGAAGCGCAAATTCATTTTCTTTTTTGAATGTACGTAATGACTGGACTATTATGGCAGTTTATGATTGATTGAAAATAACGTCAATCAACGCCGATGGAAATTTTGTCGACAACACGTTTTCAGTCAAACGTTTCGTGTCCAATTTTAATAAGGCTACGCAAAATTCGTGTCGATAAATCGCAGATCAACGTGTTTTGAATAAACAAACGTAGCGATGAATTTATCACGGAGCTTTGTATTGGGACTTAATTTCCATATAGATCTAATAAAATGAGCGCGCTCCGTATAACGAATGGGTATGAAGTAGGTAATGAAAATGGTATTTTTTGTTCCATAACGTAACGTTCGAAAAGATAAGCCGCATTGTTTTAGACAAAAATTACGAGCGACCTAAAACGTCGATTTGCATTTACTCTTACCTATATTCGTACGCAAAAATGTGAATTGAATACGTTTGAAACCTTGTACCTTTGTTGCCCTTGTCTCCGTGCAAAAGGTCTCGTATTCAGAATTCATTTCAAAGAATTCTCTCTTCCAATTCTTTATTGAAATAAACTGTGGTCAAAGGTAAATAACAATTCAAGATTAAGGACCGTTCTGTATACAGAATTTGTTTTGCATATAGTCGTTTCATTTATTATTCGGGGAAAAGCCTTGGCTGAAATTGGGGCCTTAATGTAGGTTGGGATGATGGATCAAATGGCTGTATTTTGTGAAGCATTGTAATAATTTAGTTTCACCTCCTACTTAAATGTGAGTATGTGTTCTCGGTTTGTCGTCTTGTGAATCTGAAACGTGACACTATCTACTAAATAATGAGCTTCAAGTTCAGAGAGCATATGCGGTTACGTCACGACGTTCAAACAGATATAGATTGACCTAAATTTGGGATAATACCTCTGGTGTGGTTGTATCATCAACACAAAGGTAAAGTCGGGGAACAATAAGATGTAGGTACTATTACATTGATACTTTAGTAAGTCAACCGCAATATTTCCTCGGTCCTATTCCCTGGTGAGTTCACAATATAGGCAATGAATATCGTTGTTTGATTGTAAAATAGATTTACTGACTGTTGAGAACCAACAAAAGAGTTTTTAGTGTTTTTTACTTTTTCTTCTAAAACAAAATAAATTTTACTTCTTCACTTTGACAGCTAAAAGAAAGTCGTTTTATTCATACATTTTATACATATTTTAATACATTATTCAGTAATACAATAATTAATTTATGTCATAAGAAACATAAATTTGGTGCCGAAACCCATACATCATTT